AGCCTCAACCCATCCTTACTTTAGGAGTTAAACCTAGACGAATTTGAGAAAACCTGACTGATACCCTCAAGCACTGGTTATGCAGCAGAAAGGTGGGATCCTTTCAGATTGTTTCTGCCTGGCTCGCAATACACTGCAGAAGCTCGATTCTACCTGAATGGACTTTGGAATGTTTTCCTACCCATCCCTTTTGTGGAAAACAACTTGCCCAGTAGAGCACTGCTACATGAACATACACACAAACACATACACACGAACAACCGGGAACACACACGCACACACACACACATTTGGACTTGCTGACTGCCAAAACTGGTCACGTGTGTCTCCCCAGGAGAGGGGAGAGAGATACACATACGCACGCACACACACACACACACACACACACACACACACCATTGACCATTGACCATTGGACGCCCATCGCCAGAGGCGATGATAGCGATGCTACAGCAGAAGCCATAGCAACTTGTGCTGGGATTGTACCATTCAACAGCTTGCAAGGCTGAAGAATTGACCACCACTATTCAGCCTGGTCTACACCACACAGCTTTGAAGTGGCTTTTTTCTGGCCAGTGAATCCCTACTTTTTGGTCTTTTTTTCTTCTTTTTTCCCGCACACACATCACACCACATACTCCGGCATGCACTGGCTGTTGGTAACCACCCAGGAGAATGAAAGAAAAGTCAGGAAGAGTCTGAGAAAGAGAAGAAAGACGTGTGTGACCATAATCGTCGGGAATCGAACCCGCAACCTATCGATTGGAAATCGCTGCACATACCACTGCACCATATGGGACGCACACACACACGCACGCACGCACGCACGCACGCACGCGCACACACACACACACACACACTGTACTGTACTGTATTGACAGCTACCCTAACGGGTCATGCCGCCCTCCACCCAAGCATAGGTATGATGAGGGGCAGTGGCAGCAAAAACAAAAACAGCAAGCAGAGAGAGATAGCAGGAGAAAGACAGCGATAGTAGTATATCTGGTGTGCGACGTATAGAAAAGAGAGATGACAAGAGATACGCACAAAAAGGAAACAATAATTATTTGAACCTGTATTATTGCAGTTCCGAAACAATCAACCAGGTGATGGAGTGTGGGCACCCGAAGTCCCACCTGGACTCCACTGGAAGATCATTCCACGCAGGGATATCAGCGATAGGCCAAGCGTTGAAAAGCAGCCATGAGGACACATCGTCTAGAAGTCCACCGCGCTCGAACTGAAATTGCAGGATCAAACAATTTCCCACGCGTCGTCAGGCAGCGTAACTCTTCTCCCTTCATCACCATTCATCTCCAGCAACCGTCTCCACTCACAGCTCATACCTCTGCCACCACTGTACTCCGAGCTTCGCAGTTTGAAACCGTTCGGGGGTCAGCTTCACCACCACGAATGGAGAGACGAGGACGACAACGGTCGTGACATGACAGAAAAGACACTGCCCTGGCGACGGTGTCGCGGAACCCTCGCCCCAGCAAATAATAATTAATTCAGAAACACGCCAGGGGCGACTCTGGTGGACCCAGAGCCACCCCGTGGCCTAAGACTAGTAAGAGGAACGACAGAAAACTCAGATAAAACGGAGCTACAAAAAGCACACACCACGGCTGTCCCATGCATGCGAAGCGCGTTCATTTAATATGGCGGCCAAATTTTAATCTTTTTCATTTTTTACGCGATCTGGCCTAGTCGTATGTTTGCAATTTCGCTCGACTTCCATCTCAAACGGGCAAGGTCAACCGAAACCACGGGTGTTTGCCAGGTCATTCGATAGAGTTTAGAGCTTGGACTGGCCTTGCCTTCGACTGTGCCGCCGCTCGAGCGATCTTTTTGGGTTACCCACGCGCTACGCATGGTTTCTTTCTCGACGTGGGTGCAATTATTTTTGGATCGTCGCTCGATTTCAAGGGCTCACCAACCTCGTCAGCGAATTTTCTCCGCCTCGCAGACAATTTTCTAGTATACCTCGATGTCCTAGCCTTTCGATTTTGTGTATTCCTAAGCTTGACGTGCATCACTGTAGCTTTTCGTGGCCATGTTAGAGACGTTATTTTGTTCAGAAATGGAGGCTCATGTTAGCTTCCTGTCGTCGTGTTGTCGTATTGGAGGGGAGAAATTCGCGTCAAGGAGTGGACGGACGAAGTATCGTGTGGCAGATCATACTCAATCCATTTTGGCAGTGTTTCATCTCAATGTGGATGAAACCAAATACACCCTGAACTTTTTTGCCACACTTGCAAATTGGCCATGGAATGCACTGCTACTGCCAGGGCCCAACATTCTCTGGAGCTCCAGAGGTGGATGTACACCGTTCAAAGACTGGGAGCCACACAGTGGGACAAACTGTTTGAAATGCAAGTCTTCCAAGCCTGGCAGGAAGTCCAAATGCAAAACACAAACGCAAGACAAACTTGCGGCATGGGAGAAAACGCGGGCCATCGCCCGCAAGCATGAGCACATGCACGCCGCCACCACTGACAGCAGCATCACCAACAAAACCTCGCCCCACCACACCAGTACCTGATCACTGGATAGTTTAGTCTGTTCAGTTTACGAATTGAAAAAAGGAAGACAAAATAACAAAACTAAAAACACGAGCGTCGCATGGACCGAATCTGATGAGCAGCAGCACGTCACACCCGCATACCAAGTTTAGTAATAGTAGTAGTAGTATAGTATTTATTCATATTTCTCTAGGGCTTAGTGGGTAAATCTCTGCATCCAGAACAGTTCAGATAGGAATGCAATAACACACGCACAATGTCCACAATGTCACAGGTAGGGAGAGAAGTGTTTGCAGCTTGCTGGTAGACGTTCAGCCGTGCATGCATTGGCAAATGGCTAGAGCAGACGGCCCGCTGTCCTTAATGTAAGGCACACACGCAAGCGTCAGAGCTACAGCAGCCAAACAGCATAGTTTATGGATTCATGAAAGACTGCACCATACACTGCGCCAGCTCTGGTAGGGTGCCCTATTTGAGCATCGTCACTGGTCGGTGACGTTTTGCAGGCCTCACCATCGAAGATGCGAGGTAATGCTGCTGATCGACTTGCTGGCATGATAGTCACAAGCATAACTAGCGAAGGATGGCTGGAAGTCGAAACCAGCTGTAGATGTAGATTCCAGGTATACCAGAGAATTACTGACGCCAGCACTTTATCCGATGCCCCATCAGTGTCAACTGTACGCCGATGGTCACAGGACCGTGACAGCCTTTCGATCGGTCTACGGTCGGGAGACGGGGCTGCAAGCCCAAAGCAGCGGGTATATAGTGTTCGTCACCAGCTGAGCAAGAGAGCTTGCTGAGAGATTTAGGTGTGCACTGTTCAGCAACCAGTCCCAATATAGGTTTGTCCATGAAGGCTGGTGATCCTCAGCTATCATACAACAAATTCCTACTCACTGCGCATATGCGCATATGGCTTGTGAAACAGCAGCAGAAACTGCACTGCCTTGACAAACGCACCAGTTACCATGATGGAGCAGATATGCCAACACCAAATCTCCAATCGCTAGTACAAGTAGCTCTTCACTAAATCATGCCTAGTGCATGCTTGCAGTGATATTTTCAGCAAGAGCGCTGCAGTTACTGCTGAGGAGATATAATATTGCGTCCTTGAAGTCGAAGGCGCTCATCAAAGATTTCTTGCCATCAATTCTTGGCCTTATGCAGGCACGAGGTGGTCTCCCGTGGCATTGGCCATATTACCCCGAGCTGCACTTGCTCGAGGAGCACGTTGTTTCGCTCATGGAAGTCCTTCGTGTTGGACTGAGTAGGCTTGCTGAGAGAACAGAGCGCTGAATCCATCCACGTCCACAACTACGAATAATTTACAGAAACATTCCTACTGCAGATCAGCGCTTGAAAACGGCGATGCAAATCAGCGACGTTGGGCTTCTCCATTCAAAAGGAGAGCCTTCCTAACGAAGCAATTCTCATGTGACACTACATAGTCTCTCAAGCACTCTAGTTCAGGTCTTCTTCTCTCCACTCCATTATCATTTCGATCTTCACTCGGTCGACGTGATGGTAGTAGCTATGTAAAAATTATGATGGATTCCTCCCGATCCTCGTCGCGGCTAAAATTTGTTCGGTGTTTGTCTAAATTCTCAAACTGACAGGGTTTACAAGAGAAATGTACCTAATTTTGTGCGATTGATGCAAATAAATCGGAATATGTCCGACTTCATAAATCCGTGCGGTAAACCGCATGAAAGGACGCCATGTCGTTAGTTGGTGCACATGAAGTCACCGTGACACACACACACACACACACACACACCATTGACCATTGGACGCCCATCGCCAGAGGCGATGATAGCGATGCTACAGCAGAAGCCATAGCAACTTGTGCTGGGATTGCACCATTCAACAGCTTGCAAGGCTGAAGAATTGACCACCACTATTCAGCCTGGTCTACACCACACAGCTTTGAAGTGGCTTTTTTCTGGCCAGTGAATCCCTACTTTTTGGTCTTTTTTTTCTTTTTTTTTCCCGCACACACATCACACCACATACTCCGGCATGCACTGGCTGTTGGTAACCACCCAGGAGAATGAAAGAAAAGTCAGGAAGAGTCTGAGAAAGAGAAGAAAGACGTGTGTGACCATAATCGTCGGGAATCGAACCCGCAACCTATCGATTGGAAATCGCTGCACATACCACTGCACCATATGGGACACACACACACACACACACACACACACACACACACACACACACACACACACACACACACACACACACACACACACACACACAACCAGGTCCACACAACACACACTGCAGCTTGGTCATGACATCATGTGACTCTCACTGGATATAGTGTCAGCGACTCAGCGCACAATCAAGCAACATCACCTATTCACTATAAACACAATTGAAAATTTTAAGTTCCTAGATAAACTCAGAATGGATTGGATATAACCTCTGCACTTCACTATGACGATATCAATTTTTTCTTAATAAGGAGTGACATCAATGTTTGAGTGGCTGCAGCTCAGTACTAGTAACTTGTTCATCTGTACTACTGTGTGTGTCACGATTAATCAGTTTCCTAACTACGACACCGGACCATTTCACCAGGACGAGCAGGCAAGCCAGGCCCAGGTAGATGCAGCCCAGGATGGTGAAGGCTGTCTGAAAGCCCAGGACGGCCACCAGCGGGCTCATCACCAGCGGGCCGGCCGACGAGCCCAGCGACAGCACGACACGGGTCAGGCCGGACACGGCCACGCGCATCTCCACCACGTTGCCAAACCCGATGTCGCGCAGGTGTTCAGCAAGAACCACTGGAAACGTCACAATGCCGAGCACACGACCTACGCCTGAGACGAACATGGAGACGAACACCAGCACTAGAGAATTGGGCAGGTGAAGAAATGTTGCCGGTGCCACTATAAGACAACCCAAGCCTATTAGAAGTAGAGCAAGGGCTAGCAACGCATAGCGGCTGAAACCCCTGTCCAACAGCCCGCCAAGAATCGGCCCGAAGATCAGACTCTGCGTCAGGAAGAGTGCGAGCGCAGCACCAATGACGACTGCACTCGCGCCAAACTGCGACTTCACGTGCGGAGCCAGCAGGGCCTCCAAGCTACTGTAGGCCGGTGCCGAGGACACGGCAAACAGGCATATCACCCAGACCCAGGGTACGCAGAGTATCCTCAACGTACTGACGTGTTTCTCGGGCACGGCTGCAGTGCCAGTGCTGCCGTTGTTGCTCTCCTGTTGTTTCTGCTGCTGCTGCTGCTGCTGCTGGAGCTTCTGCTCCATTGCTAGCTTATCAATGTCTACTATGAACAAGGCAACGCACAGCGATACAAGTAATCCCGTGGCTCCCGTCACCAGGAAGGGTAGCTTGAAGCCTCCCACATCGTACAGGCCTCCGGAGAGAACGAGCCCGGCCGCCTTTCCCATCGACATGCTGATGATCAGCCAGCTGTTGACGAAGCCCAGGTTGTGGGGATACATGCGAGTCAGGTATGTCATGGTGGGTATTGTGATTGCAAGCAGTCCAAACCCCTGGATGAATCGCAGTATGTAGGAATAGGTCAGAAACACCCTCCAGTCTCCTATGCTGTTCAGGGTAGAGAATAGAAGAGACGCTGCACTTCGTGTGGCCGACGCTATCACCAGCAGTTGCTTGCTGCCAACGTCGCGCAGGACGCGAGTGACCACTGGTGCCACGACCAGGCTCGTTGCGCCAGTCACACTGAACACTGCGCCAACTGCAGTATGATATCCCGGCCCAGCGCCAGGGTTCTTCTCCAGAGCATCTCTGAAGTAGAACGGGCCGAACGTTCCCTGAATGCAACTGCTCGCCACTGTCAAGCAGAGGCCCAGCACGATTAGCCCTCGACGCAACGGAGACATGCTTGCAGTCGGTGAACTGACACTATCAACGATATTTGCATCGCTGACGCTGGCGGCTTCCTTCTGGACCGTTCGTTCTCCATCATTTGATTTGAGCAGGGACGTAGCAGCATCCGCACCATCTCCACACTCATTCGTGTCCGTCCCGGACTCGCTGACACTAGCTAGTCTCGAGCTCATTTCCTATTCCGCCCGACCTGCGTCTCGGAGTCATCTATCCGCCTCAGTTGTCCTACAACGTTTGCACCCAGAGCGAAGTTTCTGAAGAAAAAGGTCCATCGTTATTTTTTGCCTCGCTTTCTCGGTCGCAGCTGAAACACAGGTCATCCAAGCCTTCAGTAATCAGGTTATGACTATGACTTGTACAAGTACGTAAGTGCAGTCAAGCAGTCTTGTAACAAGGCGTAGAGTCTGCATGTAGAAAATACATCAAGTAGATCTACTAGTACTACCGTAGCAGAAAATCGGATTGGTATGGAGAGATGTCACCATCGCCGTGAAATCTACAATTATCATGTAGATCGTCCAAGAATGAAGATACATGTACGGTCACAGCCATCTTCATGATTGTATTTACTACACATTTTTAAAAGAGATTAGTTGAAGTGTCCCAATACTAGAGCAGTGCCCGTCGCACTGGAGGCACCTTCAACGCAAGTGGAAAACCTGAAAGAACGCACCACTTCCTGCTCACAATTCTCCGGTTTTTTCTTTTTCGATCATGATAAACAATTCCTTAGTCAGCATTTATTATAATGACAATGACAAAAGCAAAGCAAAGTAATTGTACAACTAACTAACTCGAAAGAACAAGCACCATGCACAATGTCTATTCCATATGCGCTTCAGCCACTGCAAGTGTGGCGGACTGATCATTCCAACCCACTCAGTTGAACTGTTGGAGGTGACAGCGTTTTGAATAGCTGCTGCTCTCAGCGCCGGTTTTGCACCACTCCACGAGTGACGTTGACTCACACTGCTACCTGTACCTGGGGCCTCATGATGATGGCCCTACTCATGAGGTGTTCATCCCGCTGGAAACTCTTGCTGCTGCTGCTTCTGTTGTTGTTGTTGTTGTTGTTGTTGTTGTCGTCGTCGTCGTCGTCGTCGTCGTCGTCGTCGTCGTCGTTGTTGTTGTTGTTTTTGAATTCTTTATTCTCACGATGGCACCATCGCCAATAAGAGAAATTGTTGTTGTTGTTGTTGTTGTTGTTGTTGTTGTTGTTGTTGTTGTTGTTGTTGTTGTTGTTGTTGTTGTTGTTGTTGCTGCTGTTGTTGTTGTTGTTGTTGTTGTTGTTGTTGTTGTTGTTGTTGTTGTTGTTGTTGTTGTTGTTGTTGTTGTTGTTGTTGTTGTTGTTGTTGTTGTTGTTGTTGTTGTTGTTGTTGTTGTTGTTGTTGTTGTTGTTGTTGTTGTTGTTGTTGTTGTTGTTGTTGTTGTTGTTGTTGTTGTTGTTGTTGTTGTTGTTGTTGTTGTTGTTGTTGTTGTTGTTGTTGTTGTTGTTGTTGTTGTTGTTGTTGTTGTTGTTGTTGTTGTTGTTGTTGTTGTTGTTGTTGTTGTTGTTGTTGTTGTTGTTGTTGTTGTTGTTGTTGTTGTTGTTGTTGTTGTTGTTGTTGTTGTTGTTGTTGTTGTTGTTGTTGTTGTTGTTGTTGTTGTTGTTGTTGTTGTTGTTGTTGTTGTTGTTGTTGTTGTTGTTGTTGTTGTTGTTGTTGTTGTTGTTGTTGTTGTTGTTGTTGTTGCGGCTGCTGCTGCTGCTGCTGTTGTTGTTGTTGTTGTTGCTGCTGCTGCTGCTGCTGTTGTTGTTGTTGTTGTTGTTGTTGTTGTTGTTGTTGTTGTTGTTGTTGTTGTTGTTGTTGTTGTTGTTGTTGTTGTTGTTGTTGTTGTTGTTGTTGTTGTTACTGTTGTTGTTCTCTTCCACTCGATGTAGGCATGCGCACTAACAAAAGTATTAAAAAAAGAAAAAAATCAACATCTCGGTACGTTTATAATTTTATATCCCTCGGCCTGATAAGGGTTAGGCCGGGAGAGCACTACCATATTTCCCTACTGTAGAGCTCTCCTTGGAACACTTACGAGTATATTCTTATAGGTAGGATACCAGACTCGATTGTAAGTCGCATTCCCTTCTTTGCCCGAGACGTTTAGTGTGAAAAGGTGCGACTAGTACTTAGAGAAATACAGTTAATACACTGTAAGTAAGGAGTTAGTAAGTCTTGCTAAACTCAATCTGCGAACAGAACTGTTTCGTCCGTTGTGGACCCATCAGCGCAGCACAGAGAAAATGAGGCCGAACCTGATTAAACTAGGCTTGAGCGTACCTTGCCAGCGTGCTCAAACTGACAAGTCAGTGAGCTCTAGCCAATGGTGGACTATGCTCGGCCAATCGTCAAATTATGCTTTTGATTATGCCACAATTATGCCAACAAATATGTTGAATTATGCTGAATTATGCTCGGTTCCACTATGTATTCACGCTGTACATAGAGGATTGAGAAACCACGCATACACACACGGCCATGCCCTAAGCACAATTTTGGTCTAAACCGAAAGATTATGCCGACCTTACACGTTGGAATCCGTATATTATGCCGGAGCATAATTTTTTGACGAAATCCCAAGATTATGCCAAATATTATGCCGGCATAATCCGCCAAGGGCTAGTGAGCTCTGCATAACGCAAACAGCAAAAGCACCACACCAACACGAAAGTGCTCAACTGCTACAAGAGCAGGAGCGAAATACTGAATCTGCGAACAGAATTACATGTACATGTACATGTATGTGGTGCTAGTTAGGCACAATCTTCCCGCATACAAATTCGCTACTGCACTGATGTACTGGCTCTCAGCGTCTGTTGAGGACCACTCCAGTATGAGCGACGGTGATTCACGGCGTCACGCTGATGCGAGGGCGATCAGGTGGTGTTTATCGCACTGGAAATGGAGCGACTCTGTGCATTTGTATCCCTTGTAAAATTAAGGGTTTGGCCTGGACTGCACTGGTAATATAAGTGGTGCTCTTCAGGCACAATCTCCCTCAGCCTACTCAACCACGATGAGGAACTGATGGAAGGCACGACGGGCTACTGGAATCGTGTGCTCCGGACTGTCCTAGATCCTGCAGCACTGCAATAGAGAGTCAGTCAAGTGTCCAGTTCGCCAGGAAGCGCTTGTTCCACATACAATGATTATTAATGTGGACGTAGACGCTACCAATTACCAGTACTTCATAATACATGTACATACTTTAGCATACTAAAAAGGATGGCAATAAACAAAATCAGCTGAAGCGACATGTTACGAAGGTTTTATTGAGATGTCACGAACAAATTCTAGAGAAAGTTGTGATGGAAAAAAGAAAATTAATAACTCTGATGGAAATGTAGAATTTGTTCGTGACATCTCAATAAACCTTCGTAACATGTCGCTTCAGCTGATTCTGTGTATTGGCATCCTAAAACTGTTGTCACCTCGCCGCCTGTTCAAATACTAAAAAGGAGGAAATTTCTCCCTTTAGCCAGTGGAGATGGTTAAACACAATGATGTGGAGCACTTACATACTTACATACTTAGCGTTGCCTGAAACAAAGCTCCAGCATAGCTGCTCGTGTACCTATACTCGTAATTACGGTAATGGTTCCAAGAAGCGCATAACATCGCCAAACCTGGTACATGTACAATGTACATGGGCAGCATTAATATTAATTTTTTTGGAGTCGCCCTGAACTACAGTAGCGTTTGTCAGGCCTTGTGCTCTGTGTAGGAGTACAGACGAAGCCGAAATGAAACAGGTTGAGGGAAGCTGGAAGAGCAGAGACTGCAGTGTACTGGTGTCGGCGCATCTACCGATAGTGCCTCAAAGGAAACTATTCGTACTTGTATTGCTATTAGTTTGGATGTGTAATGGCGGACAAGACGGGATTCAGCGATGCTGGCGCTCACGACGGGACAAATTTACTGGGGCCCAGCGAACGATCTGATGGTACGCCATGCACCCAGAGTCAGACTGAGGATGATTTCAAATCGACGGGCGAACACCGGTTACCTGCCCGCCGAGGCCTGACCGTGGCGCTCCTCTGGTTGTCAGTGGCGGCCGGCTGTCTCCAGAACGTGTTCGGACCGTTCTTCTTCAAGGACGCCCTGGCAAAGAACCCGCAATCCGGCCCAGGATATCATACAGCGGTTGGTGCCGTGTTCAGCATCGGGAACCTTTCCAGCTTGGTCGCTCTACCACTGTGCACTCGTGTACTACGGGACATCGGCAGCAAGCAGCTTCTTGTGATAGCGTCTTTCACTAGAGCAGCTGCTTCGATCATATTCTCTCCACTGAACGGGATAGCAGACTGGCGAGTGTTATTATTATGCTCTATTCGCGTTAGCATCAGTGAGCTTATAAAGCTCACATATAGCCTTCGCTTAAGCCGCAAGAAGGAGCAAGTGAGCGCGAGGAAGCGCAATGCACACAGAGCGTCAAAACAAAACAAAAAACAAAAAAACAGAAAAAAAAGAGACAAGCTGCAAGAAGGAGCAAGTGAATGCGAGGTGGCGAGTGTTCCTCGCCTATAGTTACATCATTCGCTTCATCCATGGTCTGGCGTTTCTGTGCATTACCATCCCAACGATGACGTACCTGACGAGATTGTACCCTGAGAATCTTGGCTTCGTGAACAGTTGCCTCGTCACCAGCCTATCGCTGGGACACAGTATTGGTACGCTACTGTCTGGAGTTCTGTACGACGTGGGTGGATTCAATCTACCTTTCATCGTCACTGGGGCAATAGCATTTCTGGTCTCGGCGGGTGTGGCAGTATTTCTTGTGGATAGTGATAAGCTGGAAAAGGAAGAGCAAAAGCAGCCGGAGAAAACCGGCAATGCTCGGGAAGCAGCTGCCGTCGCGGAGACACACCTCGGTACGTTTGCTGTCCTCCGCGTGCCATGGGCATTATATCTATTGTTTCTCGCTATCGCCGCCACGTTTGCATATAGTGCCCTGGAGGCTGTTCTCAGTCGTGAAATGTCATTGCGGCTGGGTGTGAGCACCACTGTGATCGGTGTCGCTCTCTCCTTTCTCTTTATCCAGGGTGCGCTCTTTGGGCCGATCGGCGGCAAACTTCTGGATAAGGGTATTGATCGTAACGTCACATTCAGCGTTGGCTTAGTGTTGATGGGGCTGGGCTGTCTGTTGGTTGGTCCGGCTTCTTTCCTTCACCTGCCACATTCACTGCCTCTAGTGATAGTATCTCTATTTGTGTTCGGAGTTGGACGTATTATTTCTGTGATGACCGTGCATGTTGCTCTGGCAGAACACCTGCGTGACATTGGAGTTGGTACGGTCGTGGAGACCCGCGTACCCGTATCCGGTCTCACCAGGGTATTCCTATCCATTGGGTTTATGTGCGGCCCGTTAGTGGTGAGTCCTCTGGTGGCCGTGCTGGGTTTTCAAGCTGCCTTCACAGGCCTAGGGTTGGTGTACGTTTTCCTTGCCGGCCCTTTGCTACTTAAAGCTGCTGCAGGTTCACGCATACTGGAGAGGTTAATGGCTTGTATTTGTACGTTGTATCGGAATCGTGTCGATGTTAATGACAGCAAGACTCAACAGCCCATTGACGATATCACTGAGCTCCAGCCTCTAAAACACTGATAAAATAGCTTGCAGCCTATATCAATCATATCTTCTGAAAAATTGTAGTCAGGTTGCTGTCAAGTGATCGGATAAAATCCGTGAAACTCAGAGTTACAGCAGAAACGCTTTTGATTCCTCTCAAGTGTGTGTAAAATAGTGATAAATATACACGGTGGAAACAGTAATTTAAAAATGACTATCAATAAAATTAGTTTTGCTGTCTATTTGGACTGAGTTTGAACTTCTTGATTAATGTTCGAGCCCCTCTCGGTCTCGCTAACTTCAGAATTATTTTACCTGTATGTGACATACATGTATGCGCTTATCTCCAAGATTCACGCTATCGCCATGCAAATGTGCTGCAAGAATCAGGATTGACCATGCCAGACTAGCCAAAATAATCAACATTTTGAAATCGTATACAGTATAACCTCTCGAGGCGACCACTCGGATAAGGCGACCACCTGTGCTGGAAGACCACTGAAACCACGACAAAGGGTTAGGCCGCGGCTTTGCGGATGATGCCGGCAGAAAAATTGGCAGAAGTCGGTACTTTCTCTGGTAAGTTTCATGCATGTTTGGTATGTGGATAAAGAAATGGAGCAGAATTCGAGGAATTGCCCGCCATAAGGTTTGTATGGTTCTGCCAATTTCACTACTTTTCGAGCAGAATCTTGCCACCTTTCCCAGCATTATCCGTCAATGCCTAGAGTAGAACCCGGGTTAACCTTTTTCGAGAAGAACTACCTGGAAGGACCTTGAGGACTGTTCTCAATGCATTCAGCGCAGCTACTAATATTTACAGAGAGCAGTGTCTGTCCTCTGTAGTGACTCCAAGTGAGGTGTTACTTGTCAAGCGATGGAATAGTAACAACGTGTGGTCGCACTGTGGAAGTTGGAAGGACGCGTGGAAACAGTTGTGGAGGGTGTAGCATTTTTTGAGTGTGTTACTGTTAGTAATTGAGGGAAGTGATCGCCTCCAGCAGTCTAGAACTAAGGTTACGTTTGGTTGGTCACATTCCCAAATGGGAATCACTTGGAATCACTCGGAATCATTCTCGCCCGTTTGGTTGGTCGAAAAAGTGCGTTAGGTTGGTCACATTCCACATGACTCCAGAATGGGAATCGCTGAGAATGATTCTTTTTGGAGAACGATCATTCCACCTCACATGCTGGAATGGGCATTCTCATTCCGGAATCAAAAATGATAATGGCTGCCACGAGCCAAACAATGTAGCACCAGGTTCAAGTGCCTCAAATCATGCACTCAGAAATACCATGACTCTCTCAAGGAAACTAGAGTCGGGTAAAAGAAAAGACAGCCGCCGTTCCACAACGACATCATGGAATTGTTACGTCAAGTGATTCCTAATTGATTCTGGCGCGTTAGTTTGGTCAGGTGATTCTTATATTTATATTTTTATATTTATTACATCTCAGACTCGGTAGACTCGGTGGAAACACCGGCCAATGTGAAGAGCCTGCGGAGTGGGTGATTGCCAACCACGGCGATAAATAGAAGTAAGGGGAGGGAAAAGAAAGAGTAGCAAAATGAACAGCAACACCAACTCCGTAAAGAAAGATAATGTCTAATAAAAACAGTGAAAAACACAGAGACGCAAAGGACATGTGGATAATGAGCTATTTATGTCGTAGTAAATAAGAGGCGGCACGGATCTTAAATAGGCGGAGTGAGGTCAAATCCTTAACTTCTCTGGGTAGAGTGAGCCGAACAGAATAAGCAATAACGAGAGGGGAACGCAAAAGAGTGGATGAGTTACACTTAGGGAGTAAGAGCGAGTTTCTAGTTCTTAGAGAAGAGAACCAATTAAAAATACATGAGATGAGGTGGGGCACAACTCAAGCTTAATAGAATGGACAAGAGAAGCCAGGTGTGCACTGCGTCCATGTGATAACGGGGTTGTGTGAGCGATTTTATAAAGGGCGGATGATGAGAGCATGTGTGGTTGACGGAGGAGAATTTTAAGAATTTTCTTGTGGTGTATTTCAAGCTTTGCAGCAGCGGAAGAGGATAATCCAACCCAAGACGTATCGGCATAATCAAATATTGGGCGAAGGTAGGCTAAATAAAAATAAAGCTTGCAAGAAAGTGGGAGGTAGGAGCAGTGGGGGAGAGAATTCCTAAGGATTTACTTGATTTTTTACAGATATATTCGATGTGGGGTACCCAAGAGAGTGCAGAGTCAATCACAATGCCAAGGTGTTTGTGAGAAGACACTATGTCAATTGGATTTGGAAAATTGGCATGGATGAGGGTTGTGAACTCTGGCTGGGGCGGGAAGAGCATGATCTTTGTTTTTGATAGATTTGGGGACAATCTCCAGGACGACATCCAGGAAAGAACTTCCTGAATGCCAGCACGCAAGTTGTTTTTCAGGCCAGTGAGGGAAGCTGATGAGGTGAGAAGGGTCGTGTCGTCAGCAAACAGAGACGTTCCAGGGAAGACTGCAGGTAAATCGTTTACGTAAATTATAAATAGAAGGGGATCAAGAATTGATCCTTGAGGAACGCCTGACAATACTGGCTCTGCAGCCGAGGATGTGCCAAGCACAGTTACGTACTGATAACGCCCAGAGAGATAAGATTTCAGCCAGGAGAGTGGTTGTTTACGTACCCTGAATGCATGCTCGAGCTTGGCCAAAAGTCCTCGATGCCAGACGGTATCAAACGCCTTGGCCAAGTCAAAGAAGCAAATACCAGCAAGCGCTCTGTTATCCCTATGCCGGCACACCTGCTGCACGATGCGGGTCAGTTGAAGGGAGGTGGAGTCGCCTTTACGAAACCCAGATTGTGCGGGACTCAGAAACGGCGAAACATGTCTGTATAAGTGATCATAAAAGATGCGTTCACATACTTTGGACACGCAGGGAAGAAGAGAGATAGGGCGGTAGTTTGCAGGTTCGTGGCGGGAACCTTTCTTGTATACAGGTATGACTTTTGCTGTTTTCCATGCGCAAGGGAATATGCCCGTGGTAAATGACATGTTGAAAATATGACACAAAGGGAATGCTATGGATGGTGCCAGGGCCTTGAGGACCCGGCTGGGGATGCCGTCGGGACCAGATGCCTTGCACGTCGGAAGCTTCTTCAGATGACGCCGGACAGTGGCAGTTGTGGTGATGACGGACGTGAAACAAGCTGAAAGCTCCGAGGGGGTGAGAATAGGGGGAATAGAGAGCAACGGGTCATCTGGCCGAGTCACAGAGGCAAACTGGGCGTTTAATGCGGTAGCTTTGGCCAAAGGGTCAGCCGCCTGCTGAGTCCCTGTGGTGAGTGACGGAATTTCCCGTGATACGTTTCGAATTCTTGCTTATCTCACAAACTGGTGAAGCGATGGACGGTGTCTACCCTGCAAAGTAGTTTGCACTGAGCGGATATAAGCTCTGTACTTTGTCCGCGTCAGGGTTTTCACTATATTTCGCTGCTGTTGGTATGCTTTCTTGCCGATTCCCATTCCAGAATGGTTGTCATTTACATTCTGAAAATGCCCAACCAAACGCAACCTTAGAAGTACACTGTCAACAATACGGGTAGTGTACGTTACCATGGTTACCAATAAAAGTGTACAGCTTAATGTGTGTCGTCATGCAAACAGTAGTTTAACTGCGTGCGTTTGTCTTACAAGCAATCGTGGTTAGCTTATCAAGATTGGGAACAGTGAGTAACGCAGAGGTTGAATAGATACATACGTACATGCTAGGGAGAAACTGGTCCTCAATGTAGATCACATACATGTACCTGTAGTAATGTTATGCGGTACATGTCAATCAAGGCTGCCATTTTTTATTTCACTCTTGTATGTGCAACATCACTGTATATGGTTTTAGCTCAAATAATCTAGTCCCGTAACCATGGTAACTGTAACGATGGCATCTGTATTGGCGTGTACATCTACATGTACACTGTATGTCAAGGGGAGAACTTACTTACTTGTGCACGTCCAGTTCAAGTGAGCATGATTGTGAACTACACATGTATCTGGTCGTAGTGGCTGCGAGGACGTGCCGATCGACAAGACATACACAATCCTACACAGTTACGAGGTCAAGACGCTCTGATCTTGCCAGAGCAGAGGTCTGTGAGTGATCTTGCCAGAGGTCGAGACCCCCGAGGGCAAGATCAGAGCGGCTAGCCCTCGCAACTGTGTAGGATCGTGGTTCATACATGGCCCACCTCCCGAACAACTAATTTACTTCACTCGGCAATTCACCTACGGCACAACCGACGAACAACAGAGCTCAGTCCAGGACAGATCAGATTAAAGTCAAGTTCAAAGTGGCTGGGAATATTTATTTCACCATGAACTGGAAATTAAGATAGGTCACCCTTGTGCGCCCTCATTCCGATCGACGTAACACTTACAAAGCACATGGCAGAGGTCATCTTTGGAGCATGTTTTTAGGTCCAACGTCAAACTAAATTTCTTCATGAATGTTTCTAAAACAGACACCCAGATTTTCGTACTGTTCTTTGTACTCTTCGGTGTACAACCCACTATCACGGAGTCTACATCGACATACTTGACGAACTGAATGCGTTCGAGACGAAGTCGTGGAGCTAGGGACCGGCGGATTCTGCTCGAAAAGCAGTGCAATTGGCAGAACCATACAAACCTTATGGCGGGCAATTCCTCGAATTCTGCTCCATTTTTGTGTCCACATACCAAACATGGATGAAACTTACCAGAAAAAGTACCGAATTCTGCCAATTTTTCTGCCGGCAGAATCCGCCGGACACTACGTGGAGCCCATCCCAATTTCAATTCCTGTTCCTACACGCAGTGCTCAATCACGGACAACAACACCATCGATATCGTAAAGGAATAGAGAATTTCAAAACCACAAACGACGTTTCCCACTGAACAAGTGTGTCGGGAGACTGAGAAAGTCGGGAAGGTTTCTCTCCATTTTCTGGAATGTTTGAGTCAAGCATGCAATAAAATGATTTACTGCGCCTCGTAGATCTACTCTGTACTCACTCGTATACATGTACATGTACGTAGAGCCTACGCGGCCGCGGGCTTGATACATGACCTCACGGCTAGGCTAACGCCGTTCACAGTATCAGCCGGTATTGCCCTTGTACTCGCTTGTACTCGTGCAGTAAATCATACGTAGATCTACGTCATTGGCACAGAAGTCATTGCCAAAGCTGCATACATGCATGAGATAGTACTACTAGTACTAGTAGTAGTACTATGACTAAAGTATGAGTCTCTCTAGACTCTAGTCTGTGTAGCGCTCGCCGTTTGGCCTTTTGATGTGAGTGCAGTGTACTTCCGGCACTTCGGCCTTGTGTTTTCCTGCGCTGCATGCAGGCACGCAGTGAGCGACATGATCGTTGAGTCTTTGAAAATAAATTTCCAAAAGCTGAATTTTTGATACAGCAGGACCAGGCTACTACTACTAGTACTAGCACAGACCATACCGATGGCCGGAGTGTATGATTATTCTTTCCAGCAGTCGGCTGTCAATCCATCCATTCCTACTCTGATTTTAGCATTCTTGATCTTACCAGTGACAATGTAGATCGACCAAGGACCTTTTAAATATTGGAATAGAAAATACCGCTAATTATTTTATCCTTCGGCCAGCACTGCAGCAGGATGATTTCAAGAAGTTCAGGTGCTGATAGTAATACTGGGGGCGCAATGACAAAGGCGAGTGCAGTACCTGAGGCCGATTCAGATTCCGTCACCACTCCCTTGCTGAAGCCAAAGGACGATGCGAATCGGGAGCGTGACCATGCAGACCTAGGCACTAATACCAGTACGGCCGGTGCCCATGCTAACCCGCTCACTGCCAATGTTTCTCGTGCACGTCGATTTCTCATCGTAGCCTGTCTCTGCCTGACAGTGGCAAGCAGTGCCATGCAGGGAACGTGCTTTGGCCCGTTCTTTTTCAAAGCTGCGCTGGAGAAAAATCCGCACGGCGGCCCAGGGTATCGCACGGCAGTCAGTGCAGTGTTCAGCCTGGCGGCAGTGGCTAGTTTGGTGGGGGCCCCTGTCCTGATCCGTGTGCTGCACGATATCGGCAGCAAGCAGCTACTGGTGATTGCGGCATGCACGAAAGACGCGGCCTCCATACTGTTCGCAATGCTGGAACACGTCTCGGACTGGAGAGTGTTTCTCGCTTACTGCTACATACTCCGCTGCATCCAGGGATTTGGGTTCTTTGCTATCGCCACGGCGAATATGACCTACCTGACGCGAATGTACCCCAGCCAGCTTGGATTTGCAAACAGCTGTATGCTGACTAGTTTGGCGGCGGGTCATGCCGTAGGCACCCTGCTAGCCGGTGGTCTATATGACGTTGGCGGATTCCAACTTCCCTTCCTCGTCACGGGTTCCATCGGACTGCTCATGTCGCTCTCGGCCGGAGTGTTCATTTTGGATATTGATAAGTTGGCCAACGAGCAGCTACAACCAGTAGACCAAGGTAACACCAGCGGTAGCAGCACGAGTGCTGCAAAACCAGCTGTGGCTGAAAGGCATGTCAGTGTACTGTCTACGCTACGACTTCCCTGGGTCTGGTTTCTGTTGCTGCTGTTTGTTTCCATCAACTTAGCGTACAGTGCCAGCGAAGCCGTCCTGGCGCCGCACATGAAGTTACAGTTTGGCGTGAGCGCGACGGTCATCGGAGCTGCTCTTGCGCTGATGATCGCACAGACTCTGATCTGCGGCCCGGTCGTCGGCAAGCTACTGGACAGGGGCTGGAATCGCTACTTGCTGATGCCGTTCGGTTTGGTGCTGATGGCCGTTGGGTGTGTGTTGATCGGCCCGGCTTCGTTCCTGCACCTACCGCACCGACTAAGCCTGGTGTTTGTGTCCACGTTTGTGCTGGGTGTTGGGCGAGTGCATGTGCTCCTGACGCTACCGATTGCACTTGCCGAGCACCTTCGTGACGAGGGCCTTGGCAGTGTGGTGGAGACTCGCATTCCGGTGGCAGTGCTGACGCGGTTCTTCCTCTCGCTGGGGTTTGCCCTGGGGCCGGTGGTGGTGAGTCCGCTGGTGGCCGTCCTTGACTTTCAGACCGTGTTCGGTCTCCTGGCCTTTCTGTACTGTGGCCTTGCCGCACTGCTTCTAGGTCTCAAGTGGCTAGCACTGCTTGTAGCCCAGATCAAAGCGTGTGTGGTGCGTGGCAATCCCACTGGCGGTGTCAGCAGTCCCGCCGCAAGGCTAAACTCGACTGCTGCCGAGCTTCACTGCGTTGCATGATAATTCCGTCCTTCTACGCCGTAGCGCCGCAGGGCAATTTCTTTCCAAGTTCGAGTCGTGGATCCACGCACTGCACACAGCCTTCAAGGTGTGTATACATTATTTATAGTGGAAATCGAAACAGGCATAATGCCCTATAACATTGGACCCACTGATAGCATTGGACCCACTGATAGCATTGGACCCACTGATAGCATTGGACCCACTGGTGTGTTCCCGACCATCTACTTAATGATTCCAAGGGACACACCTTGCCTAGAGCTAGTAACAGCAGCACGACAGATTCATTGATCGTTTGATTTCAAACTGTAAGGCAGTAAGCAGCTACTGGTCATAGCTGCATGACTGTCTTACCATGGGTCTACGCGTATACACCTGCAAAGAACTGGACGAACAACCTGCTATCACCTTAGATACTTGTTGCAAGTAAGATTTAGCCATTTCAGACATTTAGGTATTTCAGACATAGAAGTCTCAGAACTTTTCTGAATCCGATCGCAACTATTGAATTTCATCATGGTAGTACAACCAACTTTGCGTATGACGACACTCGGCGGCGGGGTATCAGAAAAGTGTCCTTGTACCCAAAGTCTCATTATTATGTATTACAGTTGGATGGGACTTTGCTCTGGGCATTGCAATTCTGTCGTTATTCGCGAATTGTTATATCCGCAGTCGTTATTAGCGAAGTTGACTGCATGTCGGCATCAATTGTATTTTTTATAGACATTTTGTTATTCTGGTGTGTGGTATGATTGTGTGTAATATATTTTTTATCGATATAGCCTAGTAATACTGCGACATTGGCTGTGCCTGATTAGTTTACATTTATTATGTTCTGTTTGATTCCACTTGAACTGCTTGACCTCCTTCTAGCATAATATAAGTGCCTTGGTAATCACCTGGCATGGCGTTGAACCTCCTTGAATGGCATTAGATTACAGGCTGACTAAAGATATGGTAGTGTGTGCATGCAGGATATCTAATCTTATGGTAGTGTGTGCATGCAGGATAGATATGGTAGTGTGTGCATGCAGGATATATAATCTTATGGTAGTGTGTGCATGCAGGATAGATATGGTAGTGTGTGCATGCAGGATAGACTGATCTCACAAAAACATGCACATTATGGAGTTGAACTACACAGAACCATCCCACGTGAGTGGGCCTACATGTATTGTTATCAGGCAGAGGTCTGTGACAGTCACCACATGAAACTTGAAGTAGCAGCAAACAGGCCTTGATTCTCCTTGTCCTTCTGTAGTCACCAGGATCAAATAAATAAATAAAAAACAACTCAATCCAATCCAAGTGCTTGGTTTCTCGCACTTTTAGTGGCATAATTGAACTGATACTGTACACCCTGCACTGTGACAAGTGCAAGACTTTCTTGTCATATTCGACACCAGAAGAGTGCAAGAATACGGAGTAAGGAATTCGACCAGATTTTACAACAGTGATGGATGAAGCTAATGGTTTTTTCGGCACTTGTGTCAGTGGTTGTGAGACTTATCCTCTCACCCCCACCATTAGACGCTGCATCTGCCACTGGGTTTACCGGGTGTTAGCGGCCGTCGTGAGTTCCCTTCGGGAACGGACACGATAATTTAATTTAACGGATAATTTTTATTTCTTCCACTGCATGCACAGTGCAGCATATCTGGAGGCACAGCTTTCTAACACAGAAGCCAGACAGGTTGAAATGCATGTAAAAAAATAATGATCATGAATATTTCCGGGCTCAGCCCACTCATCAGGGATGTACAACAAAAGGAAATGCCCACGATATAATACTTGAGCGTCTTGACAAAATTAACGTCAGTATAATAATTATTATTATGGTCATGTAGATACAATGTACCATATTACCAGATTCTTCATACTCAAGAGTCAAGATTGCCAGGGCTTTGCTATGGTGGAGGATCATGAACTGTCCATACCTTGGACTCACTATCAAGCTGTTTCGAACCGCCATGTTTGTCAATAGGAGAATAGCATGGAACAGTGCTAATGGCAAGAGCTCAGCGACTGAGCGGCAGCAGCTCTGTTTCCCGATTGGTTTCGCTGCTGTCAGTATCAGGTGTCTGAGCATCCATACTACGTTTCTTGAAAAATGCTCTCACGGTTAAAACAATATGTCCACCCCATTTTAGTACGACTAAAATCCCTACAAGGCCAACGTAGACAAATGCCAGTATGGTGAATGCGGCTTGAAAGTCCAGGGCTGCCACCAGGGGGCTGGTTACAAGAGGGCCGATGATGAAGCCACTGCAGAACAGTACGCGAACAAGTCCGACGACTGCCACACGTGTTTCCGGTACGGTACCCACGCCGATGTCCCGCAAGTAATGGGAGATTACAAACGGGCACGACACGCTCATCAGGACATGACCAATACTGAGAGGTAGCATCGACACAAACACCAATGCCAACGATTGGGACAAGTGGGTGAGCGCCGAAGGTCCTACCAGGAAACAGCCGAGTGAGATCAAGGCCAAGCCAAACAGGATCAACACATAGCCGCTGACACTGCGATCCAGCAGGTATCCAACTAGCGGTGCAAGCGGAGCATTAAGCACAATCAGCAATGCCAGCGCAGAACCAGGCACAACAGAGCCTACGTCAAACTCAGCCTTGACGTGCACCGATAGAGTAGCCTCACACGCACTGCCAGCAATGTTAGTCGCAACTGTGAGGCCAATCAGAAACCAAATCCATGGAAGTCGCAGTATTGAAAACATTCCAATATGCTTCTCCATGACACCAGTGTGTTGAGCAGTCAACTTTTCAATATCCACAACAACGAGCCCAACACAAAGAGACATCAGCACGCTGATTGAGCCGATCACAATGAACGGTAACATAAAACCACCTATATCATATAATCCACCGGAGAGTACGTTACCGACAGAGTGCCCCGTTGCCAGACTTGACAGCGTAGAGCTGCTCACGAAACCTAAGCTTTCCGGGTACATTCTAGTCAGGTAGGTCATGCCGGGAATAGTTATAGCAATGAATGCGCTGCCTTGGATAAACTGAAGTATGTAAGAATATGCTAGAAACACTCTCCAGTCTGCGATGCGATCCAGCGCAGAGAACAGGACGGCGGTTGAGCCCTGCAATGCCAGACCCAGCACCATTAGCTGCTTACTGCCGATATTCGGCAGATCATAGATAACCCACGGTGAACTTATAAGACCCGCCACAGCCGACACGCTGAACACACCGCCGACCGCAGTGTGGTATTCCACACCGCCTGTCGGGTTCTTTGCCAGGGCATCGGTGAAAAAGAACGGTCGGATTGTGGTGATGTTCATCGGTGCACAGCCCAGTGCCAGGCAAACCGACAGCATGATAACGGCACGGTGAAACCTAGAGAACTGTTCCGTTACTGACCTGTCGGCTGCCTTCTCATCTGTGCTACGGGTATCGCGGTCACGGTTGCGGTCACGGTCACTGGTGTGAGTAGAAAGCAGAGTACTGCTGCCGGGAGTGCGGTCATCATCATCATCATCACCAGCAACCATGTTTGATGTCATGGTAGGGCTTGTGCTACTGTGCACATGGTATCCACCGATTGCGCCTAAATACAAGAAGCTAGGCACAGGAAGAAACACATACACACACACATACACATGCGTGGGCACACACACGCACACAAATACACCCACACACAAACACACTCACACATGCACGCGCACACATACACACACACACGCACACCACCCACCCACACCCACACACACACACAAACGCACGCACACACACACACACACACACACACAGTGAGTTAAACTTTGGTATGCTAATGCAACAATGGCCTTGTGACTGCAGGTCACAGCAGTCGACGGGAATTTTCTTGATACAAAATGTCACAGGTCGCATTCCAGACTTTTGTGTATTATGAACGACCACCTGGAATATCGTCAACACTGTCGAGCTGGCATGCATGTTCGCTTGTTCTCTCAATGGTCAAACATACTCAATTCCATCAAGGCTAGAATTTTGTACAAGTACTTTTCTAACCGGAACGCACTGGCACACTAGATCTGGTTGAACAATAAATGTTCCGGCCTATTCCAACAAGATGATAGTTTTGCAAGAAAGGTGTTCGCTCACCACACCGGAGCTCTCGCTCTTTTCCACCGACTGGACTTTACACTTGCCTGACGCACGACTTCCATCCAAAGCACACGAGAAGTAAATCCTACTACCGTATTTGTCGGACTATAGTGGGCACTTTAGAAATGGTATTTCTAGGGGTGTGCACGGGTAGTTGGGTACCCGTGCTACCCGTGAGGACCTCGGGTAGACGGGTACCGAATAGTACCCGAAAACCCGAAGTCACAGATGACATCATGTACAGTGCACATGTACAAGTTCATGTAATACTCCGCATGTCTACCCAGTGTGTAAGGGAAGGGGTGAATTGCGGTGTTACCATGGAAACATTACCCCATCGGGTACCCGTGCTACCCGTGGAAAACTACCCGAACCCGATACCCGAAGAAAATGCTACCCGACTCAGCACTAGTTATTTCAGGTCCCAAATCGCAGGTGCGCATTATGCTCCGGATATGAAAATGTATGTACAATGTACTTCGAAAAGCAGTGCAATGAGTCAAATGACTGCGAAGTTTGTCACCACTCACCCTGCGCAGGCCAAATGTGTGCATTTCTAGTGTCTACTGCCAGCTACACTAATAATACATGATGAGTTAGAGGCGATTTACACGACGGCAGGATTCATCCTGTGCGTGATGCTACCATGGAGATTCAGTCACATCTGGTCATATTTTGGCGCGAACGTATCCCGCCGGCTATCCCGGTACGGTCCCGGTGCCATGAGGGGGCTGGTGGGTGGAAATGCATACCGTGACATTCCGTGGTCTGTTTTGTACTGCAGGTACTGTACATGCATCCTGCCATGTGAATCGATCTTCGTTTTTCCCGTATCACAGTAAGCTCTCGGGATCACGTGCTTCTCTTCACGGCGGGATGCACTGCCGTCGTGTAAATCGCCTCCAAGAGACCCCATCGGTAGCATGTGCACTATACAAATGAACATATTAATATTTTTTTATGATAAATTCTAAGAATGGTCGCACTGTCTTTATCGGATCGATAATGCTCTGAAATCTAGGCTGCGCATTATGCTCTGGATATACCTTGATTTGCTGAAACGTTGCTCAAAAAGGGTGTGCGCATTATGCTCAGGTGCGCATGATACTCTGGCAAATACCGTACATATCTCATACTGTCATATTTTAGTATCAGTTGGAATATGCCGGAGTGTTTTACCGGAGTGTTGCCATTGAGTATTACCAGTATAGTAAATTACGTATGCCCAGAGGTAACACAGTACACTGCAGTGCCTTGTGATAGCACAGTCACTCAGTGTGCATGTACTGTAGCGGACATGGAAATCCAGTCGATAGACCGGGGCCGGCACCCTCAGCGCGCGTACAGAACGCTGCGTGCAATGCACAGTCATGTGGATCCGATGCGACGAGCGCGCTGCAGCGCATAAATGCATGTGTGTACCGCTTACCCACGGCTGCATGGCCAGCAGCACCCTGGGGCCGCTAGACGTGCCACCGGATTTCCATGTCCACAACAGTACGTTTACTACCTTGAAGCAACAGGCATTTCTACTGTTCCGTTATGCCAATGCTATTGTCGCAGGTGTATGAAGCTCTGCCCTGAAATCATCCCTGTTACAATGTTTTATGGACGAGCTTAGCTTAGCTTCTCACCTGAACTGATCGGATACCGGTATGTGAACGAGCTGGAAGCGGTGCGGGATCAGCCGCTGCGGAGTGCCGGTTGCCCGTACTTATGGATCAGGGACACTGCAGGGAGCGCTCAATTTCCGAGTGCAAGTAAGACAGCATGTGTTCCCGGCCACGTGGCACGCTGAAAATATTCTACAATCATGGTACTTCTGAAAACAGACTACCGTGCTTTTAGTTGCTCCGGAACAACTCCATGAAGCTACGTGCCGTCACTGCCCTGACGGGTCACTTCACACAAAACGTCTAAAGACATGCAGTAGATCTACAGGTAAGGAACGCGCTAGCGCTACACCGACTAAACGTTTTTTCATGGCGTGTTGGGACTGAGTTCCTCAAAGCAGATTGGCTGTTCTGGACTCTACAAAGTTTTTACGAACTACTTATCTTTATTACTGTATACCAAGTACCTACTACTGCAGAAGTGGCTAGCTTTCCCAATCGTATTTTAAAATAATCACCGAAGCAAACAATTTAAAAAAAATTAATAACTGTTTGCTTCGGTAATATTTTAAAACATTTATTAATTTTTTTACATAACATTGTTTGTGGGGAACCTGACACTTCATAGAAAGCCCGACGTCGATTCGCAACGGATACTAGTACAGTATTACCGGTATGCACCATGTACCAGTACTAGTGCCGTAGTGGCAGTACCCAGCCTAGTGTTCACACCAGGCAATAGTACAATTATTATAATAGTATTGTACTACTCCCTGGTTCACACCAGGGAATACACTCACTGGTCTAGGACTGAACACAGTCAGCGAACATGGTGAACAGCGCCCACAACTGCGCAGGCGGTGTAACCCCCCCCCCCCCCCAGGCCTATTTGAAGGCCCAAGATCGGGTTTCGTTGAACAGCACTATAGTCTACCGTATTATCTCTAATATAAGCACAGTCTCCAATAAAAAAACACCTTGGGGCGGCATTAAAAAAATAAAGTGCTCAGTCTCCATTATAAGCACACTGTGTAAATTCATTATCTGTACCGGCGAAAAAAAACCTGAAATGTGTGTTTCTGACATGAATTTGGCATGGCAACATGCCTCTGAAATGAGGTTGAAATAATAATGGAACAGTCTCCAATAAAGGAACGTCTCCATTAATAGCACGGGGCGGAGGTACATTGAAAAATAAAGGACCGTGCTTATACAACACGTGCTTATATTAGAGATAATACGGTATACGGATGTTGATGAGTGTATCAGGGAGTGGTGACAATCCGGTAGAGTAAGACTACCCTTGGCGGATAACCATGATAATGCCGGCAGAAAATGGCAGAATTTGGTACTTTCCTGGTATGTTTCATGCATGTTTGGTACAATCATATAGTTTGTACATGTACATGTATGTGGATAAAGAAATAGAGTAGAATCAATCAAGGAAGTGCCTGCCATAAGGTTTGTATGGTTCACTGCTTTTCGAGGAGAATGTGCCAATTGTTCGAGCACTATCCGCCAAGAGCTACAGTCCCTCGTCCTGTCTGTACGGTTGCCACTTCCTCATCCTATTGCCATGACGTGCTTGGTCATGCCATAATGAACACGTTTAAAGGAAAGGACCAACATGTTACATGTTATCTGTAGTTGGTGTCCAACACTAACGGCAGTTATAAGCAAAATGTTGAGCAGTCAGAAGGTGCAACAGCTGGCACAATACTGACTGATATTGTTAGTGTTGGACACAAACTGCAGATAACATGTAACATGTTGATCCTCTCCTTTAAATTAATCCTTGGCTCTCCATCCGAGTCTTTAAACAAACGTTTGTTATACATTTTCATGACTACATGACTACATGACTATGTTGGAGGTGAAGCATTTGAAGGTATACGAGTAGGACTACGTGCTTACTCCCTGATGAAGCCCCAAGGCGAACATTTGGAGATTTCTTTTGAATAGAATTTGCAGCGTCAACGACCTTGGTGTGATGGTGGTGAGTGATAGTGACATTCTAAAACAAAATTTAATGTACGTGGTAGGGTATGATTTATAGTTCAGTGACCATGGTGGCAGAATCTCATATTTTTTGTCGTGTCCTAGTACAGTGTACCATCACTTCTAACACCCCGTTTCTTCTCACACATCTGTGTGTGTATGTGTATGTATGAGCGTACATGTACGTGACATGTATGTTGTTGGTGTGACAGCATGAAACAAGGGGTAGGACACCGTGTTCAGAAACAGTGACCTTCTCCTTACTACAACCGTCCACGGTTGGTAGAGCCCCGGTCCATTGGGACCATCTGAACCGTACAGGTGAAACCCAGTTCTGACCCTCAATATGCTAGGGGAGTTCCTCCACCTTGTTTCATGCTGTCAAACCAACAACATGGGTGATCTAAAACAAGGTTTATTTAATGCCATGTACATAGCAGACTCAGCGGACGACGTTCAGGTTGGTTGTAACGGAGTTACAGCCAACCTGAACGTCCTCCGCTGAGTCTGCTATGTACTAAGCTCTGTCTCTGACATTGAGCACTCTCTGCAGCTCGGGGATCAACGGATTAATACCATGTACATGACCTGTATGTAACTGTTAACCATGGACTGCTTCTGGCTACATTTAGTGAAGCTTATCTCAGGTCCAGTCTTATTAAAGCCGCCCACACTAGCAGCAAGTGTATTCCCTTCACTGGGGGCAGGGGTTACTGCAGTTGGATCCCGGGACGTCTACCCTGAGTCCGTCAATCCTTTTTCTGCACCTTGTCCTCACCCAATTACTGAGGTGCGGTGAGCCCATAAGTGGGATCATTTCCAAATCCACCCTTAGTTTGGGGATTTCAGGGGGTGTCGGCCATGGGGCAGTTCAATAGCCAATTGAGTCATCTTTCCAAGATTCCTTTTGAGTCTCTCTTCCCTCGGGGCCCTCTTCTGAGGAGACCCATGTGACCAGTTTTGAAACCAGGACGTAAGAGCGGAAGCAAAAAAACCCAATATGGGAAATACATACAATGTAGAATGAGTACTTGTCCAATTCGTAGTGCAACATTAAATATACGTTTACCCCATGTAACCATGGCAGATTGCAAAGCATTCACATAGTATTGCTGGACTGCCACAACAGGGTTTGCCACAATGAGGTTAAAGTAGCTACAGCCGATCAGGGAGTGAGCTTCTGCAGCTCTGTGTCTTGGTCAGCTTCATTCCTGCGCCCGTTAATAGCTTGACGACTACAGAAACTAGTCCAAACCTCTCTAAGAAATAGTGCAAAACGACAACCCCATGTCAGTGTGACTAGAAGTCCTAGAAGAGCAAGGTATGCGAGTCCCAGGAGAGTGAACGCTGCTGGAAAGCCCAGCGCGGCTACCAGCGGACTCATAGCCAGCGGCCCTACGACGAAGCCGGACATGAACGACATGCGAACAATACCGACTACGGCCACGCGTGTTTCCGTTACCGTGCCAACGCCTATGTCTTGCAAGTGCTTGGAGATAAGACAGGGGCAGGTGATTTTCATCAGGAGACGAGCAATACTCAATGGTATCATTGACAAGAACACCAAAACCAGCGACTTGGGCATGTGCATGAACGCTGATGGCCCAACAAGGAAACTGCCGACACACATCAACGCCATGCCGAGCGCCAACAAAACATAGCCGCTGACGTTGCGGTCCATCAGGAACCCGACAAGAGGAGAAAACAGGGTGCTAAACCCAAACATCAAGGACACGGCAGCACCGGGCACAACCGAACCGACATGAAACTCGGACATGACATACAGGCTGAGCGAGGTCTCCACTGCACTGCTGGCGATTGTAGTGAAAACAGCACAGATGACCAGAAGACAAATCCATGGCACACGCAGTATTGTGAACGTGCTCACATGCTTTTCCGGCGTGCTGCTCTGCTCTGCGGCCAGCTTGTCAATATCCACAACGCCGCACTGCACACTAAGAGATATCAGCAAGGTGATGGAGCCGATCAAAGCAGATGGCAACATGAAACCGCCAATATCGTACAGGCCGCCGGACAGAAAGTTTCCTATGGTGTGCCCTAGCGCCAGGCTGGACATGGTGCAGCTGCCGACGAACCCCAAGTGTTCCGGGTACATTCTGGTGAGATAGGCAACGCCAGGGATACTGACGGCAATGTAGGCACAGCCTTGAATGACCTGGATGATATACGCGTATGCCAGGAATACTCGCCAGTCGGATATCCTATTCAATGCCGAGAATACAATGGATGTAGAACCCAGCAGCACTAGAGCTAGCACGATCAGCTGCTTGCTGCCCATGTTAGGTAGTTCGTACACGACCAGGGGACCGGCGAGGAGACTAGCCAGTGCGAATACGCTGAGCACACCTCCAATGGCCGTGTGGTACTCCACACCACCCGATGGGTTCTTGGCCAGGGCTACACTGAAGAAGAACGGTCGGATTGCGGCTAAAGTCATAGTAGCACTGACCAAGGCCAAGCAGATGCATGTGACAATTCGCGCTCTTCTGAAACGGGAGTACGTCTCCATGCCAGAACTGCTAGCTACCTTTGCATTTTGACTGCTCTCATCGCATGTACCAGGATGGTGTGAAGCAAGATGTGTGCAGCTGGTATTGGCGCCTGGGTTGGATGCCATTGCTGGGCTTGGGGCTCTGAACAACCACTACTACTACATGTAGTACAACTGGTACTAGTCATGAACGGCATTGACCACAGGTTGATAATCTGATCCTGACAAAGACGGGGTGTAGGCAAGCACACAAGCACAGATAATATACATACTTAATATACATGCAGAAATTCACTCATAAATGTGCAATGTACATGCTTACATGCATACAAACACACCATGTACCATGCATATACACACACAAACACGCACGCACACACGCACGCACACACACACAAACATGCACACACAATCACGCACACGGAATAGACTTCCTGTAAAGGTAAATAACCTACTTCGTTCCGTGAAATCGCACTGGATTCGTTATTGGTTATTCATAATAGTATTCGTCATGTTCAAAGTTTTCTCTGGACATCGACCTACGACTATAGTATGCTATCTGATGAGTGTTTCACACGAAACTACGTGCAGGCGGAAAAAAGATCTGTTTGCTTCATTGCTGTAACGTGTGTGATCATTGTAAGACTCACACTATACATGTAATTAGTGTGTGTTTTGTTTGGGTTATTACCCGGGTCATGACCGGGAAAAGGGTATAGATCAGTATCCACCGGATCTGGGATAAATGAAGGGGGAAGCTTTGCGAAAACGAAGTGTACCAAACCGGACGCCAATATCTAACTGTGCTCCTCATGCATGACACTATTGTGGACGAGTTGACTACGCTAACAAGTAGTTCCACACGACGTACGTTTCGCCTGTTGGTTGTGACGGCTATCAGGTGTGCAAAATTGAACTCGGATAATGAGCCAGTATTAAATGTAAAATAGAAGAAGAAATCACATGGAAACGACTTATGAAGCAACTATCCACGACTGCAACAAGAAAACAAGCAGTCAGAAAGTGCGATAACAGGACACCAAAATGACATGTTACTATGACATTCAACGACCTGAGACCTATGTTGAAGTAGCTGTCACACGCCTCCAGTGCGCAAACCAACAGCCTTCCAGCTTGGAAGGTTCAAGGTTATGGCAACCTTCCTTTATCTCTGATATTGCTGACCCACCCAAGTAAGCTGGGTGGTGTGTTGCTTTGCTGCTTAGAATTGTAGTTAGACCTCATTGTCATGTTATTAACTGGTCTCGTCATCGTCCTGTAACAGTCCGCATTCTATGTTGCCGTGGTACATACAGTCAACTTCGCTTATAACGACACTCGGCGGGGCATCAGAAAAGTGTCCTTATTAGCGAAGTGTCGTTATACCCGAAGTCTCATTGTATGTACTACAGTTGGATGGGACTTTGCTCTGGGCTTGGAAATTCTGTCGTCATTCCCGAATTGTCGTTATCTCCGCAGTCGTTATTAGCGAAGTTGACTGTACATGTAGCTGGTGCACATTTCCGCTCCGCTCACCTTCTCCTCTTTGATATTACCCAACCTTGAACCTTCCAATTTGGAACGCTGTTGGTTTGCGCACTGGAGATGTGTTAGAGCTACATGTAGGTCCTAGGTCGCTGAATGTCTCAGTAGCCTGTCAGTTTTGTGCCCTGTTATCGCACGTACTGACCGCTTATTATCTTGTTACAGTCGTGGATAGTTGCTTCATAACTCGTTTCCATGTGTTTTCTTCTTCTATTTTACATTTAATACTGGCTCATTATCCGAGTCCTTATTTTATTACTTCACTATTCAAACCGGATCAATTCTTGTTGCTGTTGTTTGTTGGACGGTTTGCTTTGATTTGCTGTGGAAACGTGCTGACTGTGTTTTATCCATGTTTGAATGGGGTCTACAATATTTAATCGCTTTCTGGTGGTTATCATTTCAACCTTTCCAGTGTGGGAGACTTCATTAACAAAATAAGAAAAAATAATAATAATAATAATAATCCGCTTTTTTATCATTCTTTTCTTTTTCTTCTTAGGAAATTGGGTGTTTCTTGCATACCTTCATTTGCGATTGCTTTATGCTTTCTTTTTGATGGTTGCTGTTGCTAATTTGGATTGGAATAAGAACGATTCGCCCAACCCACGAGGACATACATGTACATGTAATGCATTGGCCAGCAATGTACATGTACATATACATGTACATGTACATATATGTACATGTACATGTAATGCATTGTACCATACATGTACATGTATCATCATGGCTTGGGTGCGAGTTCGCAGCCAATTTGCAGTGATCCATGCAGTCGACCTCCGGCTACGCGGGTCTAGAAGGCGCCTGACAGGCCTGTCGACGCAGGATGGTGCTGGGGTAGGCATCGGCCATTGAAAACTGAATTCCGTCTGTTTTACGTGGAATTTCTTGGAGTTTCCCAATGTATTGTACTTGATTTTTTAGGGGTCAAACGGGTGTACCTTTAACTAACGAACGGGTAATTTTCTTAACGGGCGGGTTAACGGGTACCCTTTAGCAGCCATATTATTTTTTGGCGCATTTCTCACATAAATCATGATTATTTTTAATTTGTATATTCTCAGGTTGTATTTTGAAAACTACATTATGATTCGCAATTGATTCGTGTATCATAATATTATTATGGCAATGAAGGTTCCAAATGAATGTCATCCGTGCATTTGCCCATGTACATAACTTCACAGGCAGTAACTTACAATCGTACATGTAGATGGTCCTACAAGCTACATGTATTTTGATACATGTACGCAAATCAACTGCAGATCGATGTGATTCAAGCCATGCAAGGACAGAGTGGTTTAGCAAAACTTCCGTGATCTCGCGCAATCCTATTTGCTATGTTCGCAGAGAACTGGTACTCTATGCATTCAGAAGATGTTCGCGCCCATAGCTAGCTGGGGTGCCTGACACAGCTGATGTGCTGCTAGTGCTAGCTTGTTGAACTCGTGAAATGAATCTTCACAAATCCGTAATCTTGTATGCAATATTTCGAACTACTTTTCAGCTCGTCGATTGAAGGAACAAATTACAACCATGAGTATCATACATGTAGCTACCACCTACGGACATCACCGTTTGTGACACTCCGACTGGTCACTCAGCCTGGTGACACTAGTTCATCAAGTACTGTGGCAGGTTCGATGTCGGAGAACCATCGTAACTTTCTAGTTACTCAGCTGCCACCTCGAACAAGTTTCAAGTCTTGCATTTTCTCACATCACAATCAAAAACCTCCAGTACGAGGATTTTACTTGCACTAGAGTGGAGAGAACAACTGTCAAGTCTGTCTTTCAGCCTGCTCCTGCCTGCTAAAGTCGAAAGCGGGAATGCACAGGAAAAAGGAAAAGAGTATCCGCACTCCTATTTTGAGTCTCGGAATACGATAGGATCACTTTTTTTTTTTTTTTTTTTTTTTTTTTTTTTTTTTTACAAACGGGTACCCTTTTACTAACGGTACCTGAGATTAACGGGCGGGTACCCGGGTACCCGGTACACCCGTTTGACCCCTAATTATAAAATTCTATTTTAACTTTCATGGTATCTCAATTTTTTCACGTCTACATGACTTTATTTTGCCCGTAAAAGAAGCCGTTACCCCGTAAAAAAAATACATGCACGTACATGTACATGTACATGTACATGTACATGTATGGTAGAATGTTAGATGACGTGCAGCTATCAAAACTGAACATCTTCTGTGCACGGAGAGCCAGCTAACGCTCTGGTCAACGGATCTAGTGAAGCATTGAATTGTCCAGTTCAAATCCTATAACTGCGCACGCACGCATGCCTACATGTATATACATGTACATGTAGTTTATGGTGTTTAAAGCATTGTACATTTTTGTTTGGTAATACAATGTTCATGTACCGGGTGCGTGTACCCAGTACACGTACAGGTACATGTACGTAAGTTCGTGTTTCATGCGTGCTCCAATGCGCGTTCCGGCTTCCTCAGATAACAAACATACATGTACATGTAATTATTCAAGACACGGGTATTCGATGGTTTTGCGATACCATTGATTACATGTACTACATTAAATTTGTTGGACTCCCCAGTGAAACTGTGAAAGTGAATGGCATGGCCGCTAGGCCTTGACAGATTATGCTAATATTTTCGTGAAATTATGCTTTTCGCATTGCTGAAAAAATTGCACAAAATGCTATTTTTATGCTAAAAGTTATCATATTATGCCGCATTATGCTCACATATGCTGCTAATGTATAATGGTTCTGTGCAAAATAACAGGGGGATTTTTTTGTAGAGGACGTTGTACTTGCACTTGAAAACACCGCCATTCCGGCAACAGGCTCTCAGCTGCACCAAATAAATAACTTTGCCAATATTTCGCCCATTGGGCATCATCAGGGCATTGAGGAAGGGGAGGCCAAATTACGAAATATAAAGACGAATAATGCAGGCAGATGAATGTTCTAGAACTAACACATCGTGGTGACACAATTGGCAAGGCCAGCAAACTAAACAATCATCACTTGTAAGGTGACCTAAACAAAACGAAAGATGAGAAAACTCACACATACACACAGACACAATTTGGCAAGAAAACTAACACTAACACTAACACTAAAGTTTACAATCATCACCTGTAAGGTGACCTAAACAGAAGAAAGAAGACTAGTAAGACTATCACAGCACGTACAAGAACACTTTCAAGTGTGGGAATGCTAAAGGCGATCTATGTATATGACAGCGGTGTATGTGCAAAGTACGTGTATGTGCTGTGTCAGGTGGTAAAGTCCAGTGGTAGTTCGAGGAGATGGGTGTCGATTCCAGTGACGATCCGGTGACATCCAATCAGTCAATTAGGCGCCAGCCGTCATCGCAATTGACTGCTGGTTTGCGCTTCCTTATCTCGATAGCTTCAAGCAGTTTC